TGCGCTAGCATTTACTAGATATAAGGTAGTCTGGTATATATAAAATGGTGACAACGTGACGAATAATAATGTGTGTGTAGGTAATGAGTAATTGAACTGCAGTCAGAGAGAGACGTATTGTTGAAGTTAACGTTTGTTGTTATAGCGTTTGTTTTAGTGCGATTGTTGAAATTAAGTGTATCGTAAAGTTGTATTCGGAAAGAATAAACCAGTTTTATTAAGTAAGGACTTGTGTCGCTAAACTTTCGTCGGAACGAAGTTACAGAAAATTAATTAACAAACGGAGACGTAACAATACTATTGTTTTTACGTCAGTGTTGTTGGCTATGTTTTATTTAATTTAGATGTTTATATTGTTTCATCAGAAAGTGTGTTGATAACATGTTACCATATATCACATGGCTTAACATCTGAAATGTTTTGGGAGTTTACGAAATGATTTGAATGTACAAAAATGAGTTAGGGGACAAGAAAGTTGTATAGGTTGTTGATTGATTATTGAGCCAACCAGTTTGTTCAGCACTGTAAGTTTTGAATTTATGTTTTAAGTGAAGTAACGGAGACATGAGAAGTACTGTACACAGAGAAAATTAGCAAATAAGTAGAATCTATTGAGGCATTAGTTATGTCTCAAGTTAGGCCTATCCTTTAAGTTTAGTTGCATTATTTGTACAAATCGTTATTGTAGTCTGAGAAATGAAAGGCCTTCATTATCATTAAGTAGACAATTCTTTATTTTTTTTTATTGAATAATCCAAAAGAACCTGCCAAACAACAGAAACTGGCACATTAAAACATTGGAAAAAATATTATGTGGTACTTTTCACAGGATTATGTGACATGCTTTTGATATTTGAAATGTTAATGTAGCTAACAAGAAATAATATTAGTACAGAGGAACTTTCAACTCTCATGTAATAACAGTGAAGACATTATGTAACTCTATGGAAATTCTGTAATTGCACTTTACCTTATAAAGAATTTAAGTGATTTATATTAAAACGAATTTGAAGCCTCACCACATCATAATTGTCCGTATTATTATGTCCACTCATATTGGTTCATATTATTACGTCTACTCATATTGGTCCATATTATTACGTCTACTCATATTGGTCCATATTATTACTGTGCTACTCATATATTGGTCCATATTAATATGTATGCTCATATTGGTCCATATTATTATGCCTGCTTGTAATGGTCCGTATTATTAGTCTACTCATATTGGTCCCTATTATTATGTCTGTTCATATTGGTTTGTATGATTGTCTGCTCATATTGGTCCCTATTATTAGTCTACTCATATTGGTCCGTATTATTAGTCTGCTCATATTGGTACATATTATTATGCCTGCTCATAATGGTCCATATTATTATGTCTGCTCATATTGGTACATATTATTATGTCTGCTCATATTGATTGGTATTATTATGTCTGCTCATATTAGTTCGTATTATTATGTCTGCTTATATTGGTTCATATTGTTATGTCTGCTTATATTGGTTCATATTGTTATATCTGCTTATATTGGTTCGTATTATTATGTCTGCTCATATTGGTCCCTATTATTATGTCTGCTCATATTGGTCCGTATTATTAGTCTACTCATATTGGTCTCTATTATTATGTCTGCTCATATTGGTCCGTATTATTATGTATTAGCAACAGAAGGTCCAACTTCATTTTTCAAAGTGCAATTGAGAAAAGATTTTTTTCTTATATTTAATGTGAAAAACATTGTTAAACAATTTTGCTCATGACGTACAATAATATAAATGAAATATTATTTTATAAATTAATATTAATAAATATTTGCTAAAAATCAAACTGAGTTGTTAATGTTAATAGTTAATTTTTTGAAATTATAATAAGAACTACAAAGTTTATCTTTATGACTAGAACTTGTTGTGATGTAGTGTTTAAAGCATCTTTATTTTATAAAAAATATATAAGAGAAACAAGACACACAACTTAAGTAGATAGCTTTATTTAAAAAATTTATAATTATTAATTTATTGTTCAAGTTTTACAAGACAAATGTAATATGTAGAGAAAATTAAACTGGGTGGTAAAATATATACTTTAAACTTTATAGGGTCTACTCAGGTTTCAACCAAAGCAATTCAGGACTCCTCACAGTCCACAATAAAACCTGCTTCCATTTTCCAGCCTCAGCAATCAACGAGCTTTACTGGTCCATCTTGTACATGTATGTTGATGCTTACTTGACTGGGATTGTTTGTGGCATGCATGTAATGTGCAACTATTTAGTTGAAATGGTACTGTTCAAGTCTAATGAAAACTATTGTTAAAGTGTAGGATCTGTAATAAATGTTGATGTACATCAGGATTTTTCATTTAAAAAATCCGTGTTACATGAGAAAGAAACATATTGAGACATCTTAGTAATAGAAAAGCATTTACATGTTACTTGAACTCATTTTTTTAAGAACAAAAGAGACAAAATTTGTAAATTTCTTAACATTTTTGAGTTTGCATCAATCACCTACTCCTGTGTTCAGGTTACTTGGCTAGAAGTCAAAGTTTAGTAATATTTTTTAGACAATGTACAACCTCGGATTACTCGGCTAGAAGTAAAAGTTTAGTAATATTTGTTACACAATGTACAACCTTAGGTTGTTGGCTAAAAGTAAAAGTTTAGTAATATTTCTTAGACAATGTACAACCTCGGGTTACTTGGCTAGAAGTAAAAGTTTACTAATATTTGTTAGACAATGTACAACTTCGGAGTACTTGGCTAGAAGTAAAAGTTTAGTAATATTTGTTAGACAATGTACAACCTCGGGGTACTTGGCTAGAAGTAAAAGTTTAGTAATATTTGTTAGACAATGTACAACCTCGGGGTACTTGGCTAGAAGTAAAAGTTTAGTAACATTTGTTAGACAATTTATGACCTCAGGTTACTTGGCTAGAAGTAAAAGTTTTAGTAATATTTCTCAGATAATGTACAATGTTTGAAGTCTGGTGGCTGAAGATCTTGTCTATTTCAGTTTGGAACTTTCTTTAATATTTCAGAATAGCACATGCATCATCTGGTCTTTTCATGCTATCCATTTCTCTGTAAGTTTTCATTAGAATCATAGGAATTTATACCACAAAAAATAATAAACTGCCAAAGAGCTAACCTGTTTTGGATAGCATTCATCAAACCAGATGATGTGTTTTCATACACAAGACAATCTCACTGTACTTCTATTACAGGGATCAGACTATAACAGAAGTGGTCAATGTGTATTATTTCAAGTTGGTTCATAAAAAATAGAACATATTATAATAAACATATATGGCAATTAACACATTATACCATCCTTTTTTCCCCTAAGCAGTGCTATAGGATGTCTTATTGATTCATAAGTTAATATATGGCAATTAACACATTATACCATCCTTTTTTCCCCTAAGCAGTGCTATAGGATGTCTTATTGATTCATAAGTTAAGATATGGCAATTAACACATTATACCATCCTTTTTTCCCCCCAAAGCAGTACTCTATGATGTCTTATTGAATCATAAGTTAAGATATGGCAAGTGACACATTATACAATTCTTTTTTTCCGCATAGCAGTGCTATAGGATGTCTTATTGATTCATAAGTTAAGATATGGCAAGTGACACATTATACAATCCTTTTTTTCCCCATAGCAGTGCTATAGGATGTCTTATTGATTCATAAGTTAAGATATGGCAAGTGACACATTATACAATCCTTTTTTTCCCCTAAGCAGTGCTATAGGATGTCTTATTGATTCATAAGTTAAGATATGGCAAGTGATACATTATACAATCCTTTTTCTACCCTAAGCAGTGCTATAGGATGTCTTATTGATTCATAAGTTAAGATATGGCAAGTGATACATTATATAATCCTTTTTTTCCCCTAAGCAGCATTATATGATTAACTTATAATATTGTTACGTCTCTGGTCGTTAGTTAATTTTCCATATAATTTCTTTTCGAATAAACTTTAGCGATACAAGTCCTTTCTTAAATGAAACTGGTTTATTCTTTCTAAATACAATTTTGCAGTACACTTAATTTCCACAGTCACGTTATAACAAACGCCATAATTCACAACAAACGTCTCACGTGCTCGACTCAACAATACTCTCTCTCTCTGTCCGTAGTTCAATTACTCATTACATTGTTGCCGTCACGTCTTGACTGTCTTACATATAAAAGAATACCGAAATATAGTAAACACTAAAGCATTCAGGAACCTTCGAAAATATAAAGTGTTACTAGCGTCACGTGACCCCCGCTGTCGTAACAATATTTTGTTACGTATCTGCTTGTTTATTTGTTTCCGGTAGAAATTATTTCCAAGAATCTTCAGCGATACAAGTCCTTTCTTGATTAAGCCAGTTTATTCTTCCTCGATACAAACGTTTAGTACACAGTAGTACCACAATCAGTACGTTTCTCATCACTTTAAACTTAACAACTTTTATAATACACGCTATAAATCAAAGCGATTCACAATCTCGATAACTTCACTCTCGACGAGTGCAAAACACGCACTTTATGGCTCACTAGCTCGAACTAACAGAATCATAAATTACAGGGAACTCAAAGTCACTACTGCTCTCTGTTCATTCACGCTGGCTTTCTCTGCCAGGCTTATATACTAACGAAGAGGGCATCTCTGACTTCCCCGATCATTCGAGAAACTCATCACGCATGCCACCAGCCCAATGAGCCAGCGTCACGTGACTTCCGCTGTCATAACAGTTTCTTAACTTAATGTCACGTAGTGGACAATGTTCCTCGTTTGGTGACTAGAACTATGAATGTATTTATACTGATTGTGTTTCATATGTTTTCATATTATTTATATTCACATCTCAATATAGCCTTAAAACACTTTCCTTACTAGTAGGACTAAAAATGTAATGTAACAAGTTACTTCATCAAACTTGAATTACACTTAGTGAAATATTGAAGAAAAATGCATGAGGTTGTGATAATTTCCCAAAAACCATTGTTTAGGTATGTGATTGAACATTAGAAATGTACTTGATAATTTGATTTGAAAACAGTGTGACATTTCTTGTTCATAAACTTTACAGTTAACAATAACATTTAGGAATTGATTGTAAGCTCAATATGGTTATTACAGTTATAGAAGTTGAACTTTACTAAGCAACAGTGTGTTTTACTTTATTGCATCAAATGAATATGATTGATTTTTAAGCTGAATTTCTTAATTAAACCCTCTTTTTAATTATTATTCATCGTCTCAGTGGCGCCAACTGTGTAGGGGACTCTAGTAATGAAAACAGACACATACACACTTTATGGGATATTGATGATTGCATTTACAATGTCCTTCACCTTTTATGTAAGTGTAAAGTATATCACTCCAGTATAATGAATGACATAGACTCATTTACTTCAGATCTGTGGGCTTACCATTTAAGTATAAATGGGTTTTCATTCTGTTCATAAAATGAGAATTCAAGTTGGTATGCATTAACAAAATATAATGACTGTGTAATTTTGGCATCATAAGAAGACAAATGATATTTTCATTTTATAAATTTTCACCATAAATATTTGGTTTCGCTAGAGCTCGGTACATGCAAAATGGGTTTTTAATTTTTTTATTTTTAATTTTTTCTTACATGTAGAACAAATATAGACACTATTCAATTTAAATGAACAAAATAAACAGCTGTAGTATGTTGAGTAACAAACTTCCAGACTGAGTATTATGATGGCTTTTAGAATTTTAGTGGCTAATTATGAGTTTAGTCTGTAGTATGTCGAGGAACAAACTTCCAGACTGAATATTATGATGGCTTTTAAATTTTAGGGACTAATTATGTAGTATGTTTTGGAACAAATTTCCAGACTGAGTATTATGATGGCTTTTAGAATTTTAGTGGCTAATTATGAGTTGGGTCTGTAGTATGTTTAGGAACAAACTTCTAGACTGAGTATTATGATGGCTTTTAGAATTTTAGTGGCTCATTATGAGTTGGGTCTGTAGTATGTTGAGGAACGAACTTCCAAACTGAATATTATGATGGCTTTTAGAATTTTACTGGGTAATTATGAGTTGGCTCTAACCCAGGTCATCTTGGGAAAAGTGGTAACTTCATATCTTCACATTTTCTACTAATCTTGTATTATGTCTTTTTATACAGAGATTTTGTTTTGAGAGTGGCATAAACAATTAATTTATCTTTGGAACTATGTTGTCTCCCTTTAATTTAATACAATAGTAAATGGTATGTCTAGAAATCTTACTTAAGTGTCTTGAATAGTAATAGGATATTTCTGATGTTGAATAAGTGACGTTTGGTATTCACCCAACAACATTGATTTAGGTGGTAAATCTTATGAAACTCATTACCAAATCTGATCAACCTCTTCATATTACTTTCTTTCACATGTTTTGTTTCATAAAGTAACAAACTCTCTTACATTTATCATACTTATGATGTTGAGAGCTTTTTACATAATTTTGGTGCCATTATGACTTATCTTTTTGTTTTCTTTTTTGGTTACTGCACCATTCAGGTAATCTGACCTGTAATTTTGTTTTGCTGTGTGTGCATTTATTTTTATCTGTGTGTATGTATGTTAAATGTGTTAATATTTATTTAGAAATAAGTAGTGACAGAGTATCTTATCTTAATTTAGGTTTGCTAAATCATCATGATTTAAAAGTTTTAATTGTATGTTAACCATAGAAGTATCCTGTATAATGTACATCAAAACTACTGTTTTTTTTTCCTTAGGGAATCTAAGTAGTCCTTTACAACCTCGCCCAAGAAAATTATTGTTCCTACGTAAACAGAAGACTGAAGAAAATTTTGCTGCTAGTAATTCCAAAGCCTTGATGAGGCAAGATGAGTCCATAAGGTCAATAGTTCCGGCAAAACTGGCCTGTTCACACAAACTGGAAAACTGCACTGATAGCACACTTATCTGGAAGTGTACTGTTGGTTGGTGGAGTTTAACGTTTTCTGTGTTACTTGTAATGTTTATGACGTATTACATGTTCATGAGGTCAAACAACACTTGGAGTCTTGCTATAAATTCTTTAGAGCAGACATTACAAAGACAAGTTGTTGGACAGGAAATAGCTAATAAAAGATTGATAAAATTACTTTCTGATTATTTAAAATCTGAGGAAAGAATCTTTTCAAGACCACTGTCATTGCTGCTAGTTGGAGGAAGTGGAACAGGGAAGTCCCTAATGTCTAAAATCTTAGCTTCATTTTTTCCTTTGGATTCTGTCCACAAGCTTATTATTCCACTTCATCTGAAAAATACTCCCGAGTTCTCTCAGTTGCCAAGCTACGTGGAAAGAATAGCTGCTGACGACAAACCTCACCTGTTCATTGCTGATGATGCAAGCTCTTCTCTTCTTCAGAAGGTCCAGGAAATAATAGATAGTTGGCCCCTTCCAAAAAGTTCTTTCCCTGTGATATTTTTATGTATCTCAAACAACCAGAATTCTAAGCTGGATGAAATAGTGATAAATCACTTCCATACGAATGGTCAACGTAACAACATACCTGAGAAATATCTATATTCAAATCTTGAGAGAGAGATTTTTGGTGTTTCGTCTAGCAAGCCTCAAATCACCACCCATGTAATTCCCTTTCTTCCTTTACAAAGGCATCATGTTGAGCACTGTATCAAAGAAGAGCTCCGATCTCGAGGCGTAATTGATAATCACTCTTATATTGTTTCAAAACTCTTGGAAGAAACAGATTTTTTCCCACCATCTATGCCAGTATTTGCTGTCACAGGATGCAAAAGGATATCAAGAAGGGTTGATTTGTATTTGTTTTAAAGAATCAAGCACATAAATCCATATTTTAAAATAATATTTTATTTCTGAATAAGTATTCAAGTTGTTCAACAATTTCCTTGTTTCGTTGGTTTGTAAAAGTAATTTGTTCATATTTTACAATTCTGTTTCTTCGAAGATTGTTTTCTTAATTCATATTTAAGGCCAGAGATTTTAAAGAAAAATACAGAAATGCTTTTTCATGAAGTGTTTTTTTTAACTATAGCGTATATAAACAAGGTTTTTTTTAAATGTAAGATTAAAAAAAAGCAACTTGAATCATTTCAAATTCACAAAGACTTTAAACTTGAACTGTCATTCTTTTTCTTACCTGGTTTTGTAAAGTGGTCTTCAAAGAAGAAAGTGCTGGCTATTGCATAACTAAAATGGCAAGATTTTATTTTTTTAACTTATAATAACATGGTTGAAAGGGAGAAATTTTCTGTAAAACTAAACACAATTTATTTCAAACAGTAGGTTGTGGAATGATAATATAATATTACTTTTTCTTTAAATACCAAAGTGTTATGTAGCAAAATTGTATTTACAAAAATAATAATGTGGTTGAATTGATCCAGTTTATTTAATAAATATGTTGATAATGTGTTTAATATAGATTTTAATAATATATATTTTGTCTGTAGTTTGATTTTGTACTTCATAAATCTATATCAGGATAAAAGACTTTACAGGTGGAGTTTATTTACATAATTTTATTTTTCTAAGTGTCATTTGTAACATTCTGTTTCTTTCTTGATAAGTAAGAATGTTGATAGTCTCTTCTAGCTATAAACTCATTTGTCACAAGATATTATCTAGAATAAAATTAAGAGTCTTTTTAACTTCCAAATTTGTTGACAGACAGATTAGACAATGTCAGGATTTTAAACATTTCTCTCGTTTTGTAGTTAAGAATGCATAGAATTGCACTTTGTAACAACTAAATAACTAAAGTTATTTTGTACGTGGTGTATGTATTTTACCAAACTATATAGAAAATTTTTACCTTTAATTTCGTTATGTAACTTGCAACTCCAAAATTTTCCCAAACAAAACAGTGTAATTTAGTTTTCTGAATATCAAACCTGTTGAGTAGAAAAGACAAGATTTAAGGTAACAGCTCATCCATACCTATTGTGTATAGTATAATAAAGATGAAGGACTTCAGTTGAGAACCAAGGTGAAACACTATATTTTTGATAAAATTTTATAACCTATATTTAAATTCTGATAATTTGGTTAATGATTTCATTTTTCAACATTATATGGCAGGGACACAATATTAAATTACTAAATTTGATTCTTGATAGAACAAAGGTAGGGAAATAGGGAAAAATTAATGATAAAAATCATACTAGACTGTTGATGTTTTAATTACATATTAATCTGAATTTGATACCAGAAGTGTTTAAAATAAGATCTGTTTCTTTATCCGCCACAAATCAATACCTTGGAACCATTTATTATATATAAATTTGTCTAGATGGACTATGATATCCAAACATCTATTACAAACACTATAAAGAATACAGTATAAAACCTTAACAGTTATGGTAATGAATGCTGAAAAGAGGTGAAATATTAAAAACCCCTTACATATAAAATTACATTTTACACAATTGCATCAGGCTAGCAATTGTGTAAAAAATGCTCAAATCTGTTTGCTTAATTCAAACAAACAATTTATCAAAATATATTTTCATTGTAAGAAAATATTAACTTCCAATATGATTACTTACCTCTTCTCACAGTTACAGCTAGAATTCCACATTGAGCAGGTAGAGAAACTGGTGTAAAATTACCTAGATGAGCACCCTTCAAAAGTATCTGAAAGCACCCATGGAGTGAGCCCTCTATGGAGAGGGAACACACACTTGGGAGACTGCACCACATCTGAACCAGGTATACTCTTTGCCCTTGTGGAGCTAACAGGTGTGATATCCCAATCAAAGGGCGGAACAAGGTAACAATTCCAAATCCATAAGGAAGAGGAATGTGCGTAGAGTTGCTAGGGTGCATTGTACCATAAGCAGGAGGTCAACTCCAGTCCAGACCAGGAGGAACTCGACCAGCCCATGGTAGGAGGAGGGTCCTCAACCATTCACCTCAGCTCTAGGCACCAGAAAGAAAGAAGAGCCTCCATTCTGAGAACCTAATCTATGAAATGTGCAAATCCATCACAACCTGTAGCAAGAAACTCTGGGAATGTTCATCTGAACAACATAAGGAAGCTAGAAATGCAAAGTAAAGGGAATGTAACATCCAGTCCACAGTAAATGTAAGTTCCCAGTCCGCTCGTAGGTTTATCCTGTTTATTACATGTTGTATGCCTTTTCTGACATGTTTATCCTGTTTATTACATGTTGTATGCCTTTCCTGACATGTTTATCCTGTTTATTACATGTTGTATGCCTTTCTTGATATGTTTATCCTGTTTATTACATGTTATGTATGCCTTTCCTGATATGTTTATCTTGTTTATTCCTGTACTGGAAGAAGGGGGAATGCATTGGAGGTTCTGGAGGAATGCATCACTGGAGAAAGTACAGTGACCACAAAATCCTATTTTTGAAAGCTGACTTTGTGTTTCCAGCAATATAGGGAACATTGGAGATTGGCAGCAACCTCTTTCTGCTTTACTCATATTGTTCCATGAATCCACACTCCAGTACAAACATATTCATGAATCAATATACTACGAGGAAGAACCTGAAAGCATTCTTGTGGAACACTCTATCCCAACAGTGAGAGTGATAGACCTTATAGATTTCCTGGTCCAGATTTTTGATACAGTATACCTGGACAGGCACCAATTGCCACAGAACAGGATCCATAATGTGAAGTAGGCCCCTGAATAAATAAAATAACTTATCCACTCAGAGATGTACTGACATATGGAGAATGGCTACAGGTCGATGATTGGGACGGGCAATTCATGGCAGCAATTACTGCTGTATTTCTCAAAATGGCCATAGTGTCCTCAGAAAATCATTAAAACCCATGGCCAACCTTCAGTATCCCTTTGGTCATCTTGCCCTCATGGCTTAAGTTTGTACTGCATATGTAACAGGCAGTGCCCCTAGGGCTAGTCAATGGAGTTTTGACTATACTGCCAATTATATCAAATTTATTTAATTCGGGATTGCAGTGGTGAGTGGAGCTCATAAGTCACTAACTCGAGGTCATTTGTGGTTAGACTAAAAAAACTGATCCTGAGACGGATACATAACACAAAACATCAAGTTTATTCAAGAGTTCTATCATAAAATACACTTTTAATAACATAAAACTTGTAATCATTTGATATTTCTTGATAAACCACTTTCAGGTTAAACAACATTGATATTTGTAACTCACATATAAAATACTTTGTTATCTTATCATATAATTATTTTATAATTTTATCCAAAATTACATTAATTGACTAAGAGATATAGTAGTTTATTACTTACAACAGAGTTGGCCTGGTTAGGCATTGAAGGTTGGATACTTTTATATTCATGGTTTGTAGAGAATTCTGGACTATTATCTGTTTTGTAGAGAACCCCAATTCTTCCTGGAGATGTGATTTTTAGCTCGAGACGTGGGTTTTTATACTATATTTTCTTTGTATCCTTTTGATTTTCCAAATAGTAATCCTAAATACCCACAGGTAGTTCTGACACTTCAATGGATAATTTCTGCAACTCATCGGGCATTTTCAAAACAAGAACTGAAACTCAAGTAATTGGTTATTGCGATGCTGAGTGCTTCGGTTGCCTTCTCACTTGTGCTACTACTCTGGCCCATAACAAGAGATCTTTTATCAAAGTGCCAATTTGAGATACTATCATACACTTTTAGTAGCTTTTACTGTACAACTAATTTGGCATCAGTAACTTAAAACTGTCAAATTCGTGACTAGCGTTTTTCTCAGTGTCCTAATTTTAGTTACAATTTTTATAACTCTTATGATTCTCAACATTAACTAACCAGCTAGATGTAATTCGCTAAGATCTTGACCTAATTTCATAGTACAGGCATCCTTACTTACGTTATTTCTTTATGTATATGTGCTATACTCATAAAACTTAAATTTCTATAGCTTCTTTCTCAAATGCTTTTAAACACTCAAAAACTGAAGCATTTGTAAAATTCCATCAAAATATCCAATTGCTTCACTTCTCCCTCCTTAAGAGAAATTTTGTTACTTGTAAACAAAATTTACCAGTCAACACTGTTGTTTCCACTTCTCTCTTCATCAGTCAGTATTTGCAACACTACTTCTTACTAAATTTCTTATTTCCATTTCACAATCAATATATCCTATACAATATCAAATGACTAACATCTAACAAAAGGTACAATTTTGAATATTGATTAATATACTAAAACATAAGATTATAAGACTTACATTCACATATATATATATATACATCAAGTAAAATATGACATTCAAAATGATTAAAACTTGATTTATATATATATACTAATTATATAAACTATTAATACATAAAACAGGATAAATACAGTACATTGTAACTATACATCAATAGTTTTTTCTTCTCAAACTCTGCTTAAAATTCTTCTTAAAAGTGCTGAAAGATTGGCCACTCATTGTTCACAATCCACTCGTATAATGTACATGCCTTCCCAATTACAGTGTCAGTGTAGTTTAATAGTTAAACTCTGATGACAAGGTAAGAGTCTAAACACACATTCTGCATCCAGCTAGATCCAATACCATTTACAGTGTTTGAAATAGCCAAATTTATATATGTAAGGGTCTCACCAATTAGTGACAGAAAACATCAAGAAAACTAATTTTAATAAAAACTTCATGACTCCAATAGTTTGTTAGTCTCATCAAAGCTAGAAAGGCCCATACAAATGTATGGGTGAATTGGCTAACATTTTAGACATCACTATTGACATTTTGACACTTACACTTACTACCAGCATGCATTAAAAACCCACTGACAGTCATTTCTATTTTCACTTTCATTCTTTCTATCTCTCTGAGTACAAACACGCTATTCCTAAGGGCCAATTCCTATGTTTGAATCATCTGTGCTCTGACAATGCTGACTTCAGGTGTAACGTAAATGATATGGCTCGTTATTTTAGACATCAGAACTATCCCGATAACACCATTGAAAAGGTTAAACTTGCCACATTTAGTTTATAAAAAGCTGGGTGTCTTCAATCTAGGGATGAACCACATAGTGACAGAGTTATTTTAGTCCTTACATACAATCTTTTAGACAGATTAACAGAATTGTCCAATGCAACTTTACCTTACTAACAAGATACAACACATCTAATGACATTTTTACTACCCCACCCTTAATTTGAAAGTGTCTAGTGCATTCCAACTAACAGACTGAAGTGTTTTCACTTACACAATCTAACGGAGTTCGTCCATGTGGACAAACTATTTGCCTCTGTCATGATATAAAAGACTGTTTGGTTTAGATATTATTGCTA